AAATACCTAAGTATCCCAAATCCCGAGCATCGCCGGACCATGTCAAAACTACGAATTAGTGACCATAATTTACACATAGAAACCGGCAGACATAACCGGACTCCTGTAGAAGATAGACTCTGTAAGGTTTGTAACTCTGGTAGTGTAGAAGATGAAATACATTTTGTACTTGATTGTAAATTGTTTGATATTGAACGTGACACACTATTTAGAACAATCCACTTAGACAAACTGTATAAAGGTAGAACAAAGAAAGAGGTATTCAGTCATCTCATGTCCACCAGTAATGACCATACAATAGAAAAACTTTGTGAGTTTATCTCCACTTGCTTTAAAAAGAGAGAAGAAATCCTTAAGGCTTAGTTTAGTTTATTCTCTGACTAGATTCTAGTAGTTGTTAAGACGTTACGTCATTCTGTTATTTTGTTATTCTTGTATCTTATGTATCATGTTACTCAGATTGATGTACATGTAACATCACATTCTGATGTATGCATTTAGCCCCATGGGCATGAACATGCAAATAAATAAATAAATAAATAAATATATAAAGATATCACGTTGCTGTCATCATGCCCGACTTTGAAACAGACCAAATCACTGATTGGACCACAATGAAGCTATGATGGTTTGAATTTCAAATTCAAATCAGCCAATGAAAGAGCAGGAAATTACAGTGTCATTATGGTGGAAAAAAGGTTTGCCCTAATGACAGCATATGGAAATTTCCACATGAAAATTGGTTTCCATCATGTTAATATCTCTTAATATGCACTCACATCAATGACATACTACGGAAAACCCAAATTATTTAGCATCTGAAATTATTAGTCACAAATTGACCTCTCAAAAAGACTTTAGAAACTTGTCTGAGTAGACAGGTCACCACTTATAATTTATGCTTGGGTCAATGAGAAAAATAATGTAAGGGACCAACAAAAAGTGGTCCTTTGGCATAAATGGCCGCTTACTCTAGACTACAGGTTTGACTGTATATCAATGGTCAGTTGGTTCTTATGTAGAGGTGGTCACCAGTACAGGTTTGACTGTATATCAGTGGTCAGTTGGTCCTTATGTAGAGGTGGTCACTAGTACAGGTTTGACTTAAGTTAGTACACACACACACACACATCTGAACCCCCTCTACACATACAATATGAAATTCATAATCATTTTTCTCCACTTTAAATATTTTCTATTGATCTTGGCAATGATTAAGAGCCTGGTAATTTGACCTTTTTTGACCTTTTGGGTCAACCAGGGAGTGACCGAGGCTATGGTCAGTCCCAACCAGTGGTCAGCTCTTAATTTGCAATCTCTTCTTTTATTAGCTCTCCTCTTACCTTGACATTATGAAATCCCCCCCAAAGGAAATTGTATGCAGGCTTGCTTAATTACCGAGTGTATTAAATACATAGCAACCAGCCTACACTGGCTACTATGAAAAGCAAAGAACCTTGGAAACTTCCTATAATTTCAAACTGTAATCTGTTGCCAAATGAATGTGTAACTTATTTTACTTCTAGGGGCGATTGGATTATTAAGTTCACGTGAAGCCTAGAAAATTAATGCTGCGTTTTCAATTTAAAAAAAAATAGGGTAGGTACAATGTATATATATATAACAGATTCTCTTTTTGGGGCCAAAGTACTCCAATAAGTACAGTTTAACAAGTACAACTGAAATGCATTGTTCATTGGTATTAGTAGTAGTAGTAGTAGTAGTAGTAGTAGTAGTAGTAGTAGTAGTAGTAGCATTGTTCATTGGTATTAGTAGTAGTAGTAGTAGTAGTAGTAGTAGTAGTAGTAGTAGTACTGTAGTAGACTGTAGTAGTAGTAGTAAAATGGTTTATTTATTTAGAACCTCAAACATACACAATACGCTCTGACAACAGACTTGCAGTCAACCAAAATGGATGCCTGAATTGCTCTGTGGTCAACACAAAATATCATTAAAATATGCTATCAAAAGGTATTATTGTTAAAAATATTTTCAACATACAAACAATTGCCCCCCCCCCCATTGCTCTGGATGCCCTATGTTTGAGGAAAGCCATACCTATGCAAGATCTTATACCAAACTTGTGAATCAAAACTTGTACTTACTATGAGTTCAGGACTGGTGGTGTTATGCCTAAAGGCATTTTACTGCATATGCAAAACCGATAAACAAAACCTAGTTTTCAAAATGGCTTAGACACATACTGAAAACTCTCACCTTTCTTTATTCCTCACAACACTTTCTGCTTCTCATCCCGCATTGCCCTGCCGAGCTGGAAAGATGTTCTGAAAGACAAAAAAAAACAACAACAGTGACTTGAGCCCCTTGCTGTTACAATGTGCAATTTGAAGCAAGAAACAATATAAGGCCATACCAATTTAATTTGTTGTTTCTCGGATTCGCCTCTTCATTTTTTTTCCGATTTGCAAAAAAAAAAAAAAAAGATTCTGG